TAATAGCTTAGTATATTCGCACAATTTCGTACCGATGTAAAACCGTTAAGTGTTTTAACGTGCTTTGGAATTAGCTGACAATCGCGAAACTCAAATTACCATGGGTCAAGCTTAACGTCCAGCCTTACAACATTGTACGTTAAACAGCAAATAAGCACAACAGTAGAATCATAAAAGTTTGTATGTAGTTAAATCTAAAATTATTCTCACTTTTTATACTTTTTTTGTTGATCAATTGCAAATTTGTGTAATTTTAGCTGAATCCACAGCGCAGTGTCGTTCTCTCAGTTCCAAGGAAATCGCTAAACATAGAAAAATAGTTCCTATAAAAAAATCACTTTGTCCGACACTTAATTATTTAATCTCGATAACCTATACAGCATAAAGCATTCCAAGTCCGTGAAAATATTTTTGTTTCAGCCTTAATCAATGTTCGTAAGTAGTGTACTGAGACGGCAAGAAGTTCAAATGACATAGTGGAGAGTGGTGACAGGTGGCAGCCGGAGCTCTCTATCGGCTCGGGCGGAGATCACGAATGCGACATGAACTTAATTTTGCCGAGGTCAGTCGTAAGAAATCTTTTGATTTAGCACTTATTGTTGTTGAGAAGGTAGCTGAAAATCCAGCATGCCCGGGAATAACGTTATGTTGTATTTTATTCAGACGAATTGTTGACATCAGTCACGGCGAGCACGTCAGAACTATTAGAAGAAAATTTGCAAGAGTACCACGAACAAAATTCAAATAACTGTACCTCTTTAAAACCATGTTTTTAAGTTGATCATGCTAGAAATTTAAAACCATAAGCAAAACTTTTTCTGAAGAGAGTTGTTTGTAATGATATCTGTATTATAGGTAACGTTAAGAACGCTATTAGTCAATAGAAGCACTGAAGAATTGACCTAAGTCAGCAGTCCTGTAAAAGAATAATAAACTGAGTAGGTGTTTCTATAATAGGTAAAAAACCCGAAAGCAAGTGTTACTTTATTTTTAGAAGTGAAGTTGTTCTGCGCCTGTATTATTTAACCAAGCACCACAAAGTTGAAAAAAGTTGTATGTCTTAAAAAGTCGCTTAGAACTATAATAAAATGAAATGATAAAAGTATCAAAAAGTACTAGGAGGCGACAGATATGGAAAGACCTATCCTTACTTCCTGTATGGATCAAAAGATTTTAGGGAGGTGTTTGCAAAGGAAATCCGTACTAGTCATGGCTTTTTGTTACTGAAATAGTATTTTTCAAGGCAATGTGGCTGGAGAAGATGTATTTTGATGTCGTATACTTGAAGTTCGAGAAGAAAGACCGTATCTGCCTGTAGTCAACACATATGAATAGAGTAGGGTCAAAGCGTTTGTATACGACAGAATATGGAGGGAATTTCAGAAGGTATCTTAAAGTGAGGTACTGCTTGCTCGCGGAAGAGTCATTCTGAAAAAATTCAGCGGCTGAACACAGTTATCTCAAACTGTTTTCTCTCACCGTAAGGGTGTGTTCTTTTAGGTTGCAATCATTTACTTTTTAGGTTTTGTTGTGTCTCCAACTAGCAGCCTGTTGTCGCGAAAGATGAGTACTATCAAAAATCTAACTGTATTCTGCTCAATATGCTATGAAAATCTTAACAGTGACCATATTTCGGCTCTGTACTGCGGCCACACTTTCCATATTCACTGTATCCTTCAGTGGTTTGAAGTAAGATTCTCATTTTATGCCATTTTCTTGAACAGTTATTATGGATCGGTACTTTAAAAAACAGCTTCAATCGATGCTTTTACCGAGGAGGTTCAGTTGTTGGTTCTGAGAGGAGAGGAAATAACAGCAAGATACGTTCTGATGGAGTAAAAAGTAAATTATGAAATGAACAGGAACTTTATCATCTTAAAGCTAAAAAGAAATTTCTTAGTTTGCGGTCAATGCTTTGAATTGTTTTAAAATACTCTAACCTCAAACTACATTTGTTTGATAGTTTCTGCTCGCATTGTAATACTAATTGTGAACCTCTGCCTTCCTTAATCTCTGTTGTTTTAGCGCTTGGGATTATGCATAAAAATTTTCAGACGACAAATGCTTGTCCACAATGTCGATCTCCGTCTGATGAACATTGTTTGGTTCGTCACTTATTCTTCAATACTCTCGGAAGTCCTCCAGAGCGTATGGAAGAAAATGAGGGATGTTTTGGAATTTTGAACTTTACCATACATTTTTTTGGCAATTTAATTGTAATAATTGAGCACAGCACTTCTGCACACTTTGGTATTCACTTTATACCTAGCACGTAGTGGTCTAGCTTCTCCTAAGAGAATTCCTTTCAACTTGTCATCATCTTGTTTCATAGTTTTTTTAAAATTGCATTCTTCGTTTTTACCTTTTCTCAATAGTATATTCTTGCGACCCAGTGAACGGTTATTGACCACAAGAGTGTTACATTCTGCAGAAAGAATTACTAGCTTGAAATGTCGGCAGTTAGGAGCTCTCGGTGGTACGGTATGAACTGAATGAGTAAAGTGTAAACGTTCGCTGCAAAATGGTTATTATAAAGTGCTTTCTTTTGAAAAGTGTCTCACTTTTTGGTCGCAGACTTGGAAGAGGCTACGGCAGGAAATTTGCTGAGAATTCTAATAATTAGCCAAAAAAAATGATTAGAGGAGATTCCAGCAGTTACTCTCACAAAAATTATAAAGAAAGCGGGTTTTTAAGAGTTTGATGGGCTTGTATACTAAAAGTTGCATAGTTTTTTGAAAAATTTGCTCTTGTTTCGCCAAAAATTCTGCGAGAATATTTTATTTGTTTTTAGGATACCAGCCTCGAAGACGCAATATTGCTTCTCAAGCAGGAGAGGGATGAATTGAAAGCTAATGTTTGTTGCAAAATCCTATCTAAAGCTTTGATACAATCGTAACTTTTTCCTTCGGAGAGAGAGTTGAGCGAGCCACTCATTTGATAGCTTCTTTTTAGTGCCCTTTTAGGTTGCTCTTCTTCAAGAAGAACAAGAAGCGAAAGAAGCAACCGAAGTTTCCATGTTGAGACGTATTAGAGGTCTGAATAAAGAAAAAAAAAAGCTTGAGAAAAAGGTACTCTTGCTTCTTTCATTGTCTAGTAATTTTAAACAAAGGACGAAACTTGATATTGCAATCAATCAATCACTATTTGTTTTTAGATTGATGATCTGAAAGATACAGTTAAAGCACTGAAACTTAAATTGAAGGAACTGTTGCTTCTGGTATGTTCACTTCAAACATGAATGTTTTCGCCGGGTTTTGTTCACTTTGATAAGAGTAATAAAAGACATTTTTCGTCCTAGGGTTTTCCAGCTGGAAGCTTTGGAAAAGCAAAGATCTGACATATTTTGCGGAGGGTTCTTTGTAAGCCAATCCAAAAAATTATATTTTTTAAGTTTTAAACTAGTCGTTTGTTATGAATAATTATTTGAAATTGCTTGTTAGCTTTTTGGTGTGAAATTATCTGGTTTTTTGAGTTATCTCAAAAATTGGAAATAATGGATACTGTGGTCGCTAGCTTAACCGAATTAGATGGAAGACTAAGGGAATTTTGTGTTGAAGAAGATGAAAGTGACTAATACTGGTTCAGAGTGGATTTGGCTGCTGAAACCTGCAAACTTGTTCTGGCAATTTTATTCAAAACATATATATTTGTCGTATTTTATCCCCTATGCTGCTGTTGTTTATATTTGCGAAAGCTGTGATGGGAAACTTTTGAGTCGAAGAGAATGAACTAACTGCGTCGTGTTATAGGACTTTTTTGTCTAGATTTCTGGTTGCATTGTTACTGTGATTCCTGAGCAGCGAGTATTTAGACGTTATTATGTCATAGTATTAACCAGTTAACAGTGTCTCTATCTTACCACTGTTATTTCTGAGTACTCTACGTGCATATAAACTTTCGACGTCAGACGGATTTTGTAACACTGTGTTTTCTGAAAACGAAGATTATATTTGCGGTTTGATTTTATCTTATGGTATAAGGATTAGGAAATGCGATTTAGTACAGCAGTGAGGACTGCAGTTGTAAATTTTTTCAGCTGAGGATGTGCCAGATGATGGAGATCCCTTGATTGTGCTGTTTCATCGTCCACTTCAAAAATCATAGGTAATTCCCTGGCATTATTTAAACCGTGTGAGTTTAATTTCTGTACAAGTTTTCAAAGGTTGACGAAAACTAGCACTAACAGGGTGTATGGAAAATTCGGAAAACTTTTTACAGGCTGGATAGCTAACAACTAATTCAGTTTTAAAGTTTTTTATGTCAAGCTTAATTTAACGTAGAAGGGATAAAGTAACTTTTGTAAATCTAGTGGATGAGTAGTTAGCCCCAATAAAGAAGGCAGAGGTATGTTTGAAATACTTTCTGCGAGTGAATATTAACAGTCAAAGATGAGAGCTGTTGTAGCTTCGCAAACCGTTTGGAGACGTATGTAGTTATTCACTAAGAAGGGTTTTAGATGTGTGGTCATGTATCCAGGAAAACAGGTGCAACTTTTGGAGCAGTATCCCAAGTAGAACAGTAGGTGTTATTGGAGGGATGAGAGGCTCTAGTGTCAGGTGGGTAGAAGATCATTAGTTTGAAATGTTTGTATAGCTTCACAGATTTGAACGAGGAGAAGATAAAAATTACTGCGAATTTATTCCACAATCAACCAATTAATCTTGGCGGCCACAGAAGAAGGGTGTAAGAGGGATCTTAAGATATAGGAAGAAGATGAGCGTTATCAGACTTTGTGATAAGGAAGCTAATCATTTTTGATTACCTAGAAATTAGCAGTAGTCCTGTTTAGCAAGGTTGCTGTATCTAATTTGTTGTTAGTCGGCGCAAATCAAGTTGCTAATATCTTTGCGTCTCGATATAAATAAAGTGGTGAAGTTCAAGCATCTATCGTGTAAACATAGGTGCACATAATGAGGATAAATTAAAAGCGACTGATTTCGGTTTACTGGTTTTACCGCAATTGGTTTGGGCAAATACAAGGCTTTTAGACGGAAAGTTCATCAAATTTGCCTCTTCTCGGCTTCTTGCCAAGAATTGAAACTCGATACGATCTGTAACTGTTGATTTCTAGTTGCCTTAGGTGGCTATTGCTTCAAAACGAAGGAGAGCAGAGGGGCTGAGTGTTCGTCTTTCTGGTTTGGATTCTTAAAATCTGTTGAGGTGAGCATTCTGCGGGCACATATTGCGAATGATTTGCTTGGCCATGCTACGTACAGCTAACAGTGTTTGGTCGTTGTTTGTCAAAGTTTTTTTGGTTTTTAGATGAATCCATCAACGTTGGCTGCTAGTTTTATGTTTAACAATACGCCGAGTTCAAGTGCGGCTAGTAGTACAATGTACCGGTTGGCCAACTTCATGGAATTTTTCTTTGTTGCACACCCAGATTCTGGCCGTAAAGAAGGTGAAGAAAGCGAACGTATTTTGTATTTTGATCCTGCTAACGAAAGTCTTGATAAACAGGTTGCCGATATTGTAGAATTGTACGCTTTTTACACTCGTTTATTAATGATTAAAATATCAGTGGGATTTTTCCCGTTATCATTAATTTTTTTTTCAGAAATTTAAGAAGACTGTTGGTTTGCTACATGTTTGAAAAAAACCTTTTTTTTTTTGACTCAATGACTTAGTAAATGGCCAGTTTTTTAGACACAGATAACGGGTTTTGCCGAAGCAGTTGTGAATTTTACTAATAATTTTGTGGATGAGAGTGAAGAGAATGAAGCAGAGTTTCCGTTTCGTTATGTAAACACTTCCAAGCAGTTGCACGTTTACATATTAGTAGAATCGGAAAATTTTATCATGGGGATCGGAATGAACAAGTACTTTTTTTGTGGACTTTGTAAAGCTGTTAAGCTGCTCCACTGAAAAGTAACCATTTTTAGGGCTCTCTGTTCGATGCAGGACTATACCCTGCATGCTCCAACCATTAAATCAGTCTTAATTACTGCATATTGCATGTTCCGACTTTTTTTTGGTTCATTCTCGCAACTAATTTTTGTTGATAAGCAGCGTCTCAAAGATAGGCTGAAATATTTTTTCTCAAGATATCTCTCTCTTCTTCGCCTTTACCAGGTAATTTCCACTTTTATTAGTTTCTGTTTTTACTGCACTCTATATTTTTCCAAAAAAGACTTATTATTTTAATATTCCATATTGTGTGTTATGGCCGAAAGTTTCAGATGCCTTTGGTCGACTTGTTTCGTGGCGTAGACTTCCTCCCTCTAGATAGTGTGAACTATTTGAGGGTGGAAAATCTTATCGGTCAACTTAAGGAGGCTTTTCCACAAGTTGCAGAAACGATGTTTCTTTACCAAGAACGCTTGCTTTCATATTCGGTCCCAAAGTCAGACCTTCCAGTACTGTTTCAATATTTGACTCAAAATTTGCTCCATATGTCGTTAAGAGCGGAACTGCAACCAAAAAACCCTGGAAGGTGAATTAATATACTGCACTTCATTATTTTTTTGATTTTTATGGGACAGTTTCCCTCGTTCATTTTTTTGTTTTAGTCATTTACTTGCTTTTTGAGGGAAGGAGCAGCTAAAGTGTTATAAATATAAAGGTTTATTTAGTTTTGTTGTTGAAGAGACTTTTTTTTGAGGACAGTAAGTGCTATCTTTTTTCTTCCCAACTTCAAGGTAATTATACCCTTATGACATGGGTTCAAAAAATTATAGGCATGATGCTGTTCACCATCAAGGGAGGTTTTTAACAGGAGCAACAGATTTCCCTGTAGAAGCCATGATCGCAAAGGCTCAAGAAGTGAAATTCCCTGTTGTTTATTTTTCAGACGATGAAGATCATGACAAATTAACTCCTTTTCAGCTGGCATGTTTAAAGTTCTTTTTTACCTTTTCTTGTTTCTTGACCGCGTTTAGTTGAATGGTTTCTACTTCAGATTGTGTATCGAGCATTAAACGCATCGCTATGTTTATTTTTGCGTTGTAGTGCTGAAGCGTCATTCTTACGAGATCTGGATGCTATGTTAGGACCTGAGTTAAGTACTATAGCATCACAAATCGGTGATTCATATGTTACTCCCGCAAACGAATTATCTGCAGAAAAAGATTTTCATTTCTTATATTATAATCCAGCTAGCTTGAGCCTGAAGACTAGTTTCTATGAACCGACAGGAGAAACAGCAAGGGCTGTAAATGTTCCTGCCTTGCCAGTTTGTGTTTACAAGTAAGCTACTTGAAAACTCTAATTCATGAGGGGTAGTGCTAGACTCTCACTTTTATTTTGAAACTTTTTTAGATTAGCTTGTGATGTAGTGGATGAGTTTTTGGACGACAAGGATTTTGGGGAGGTTACTGTGAAGTCGGAACCTGACTGGTGGATCTCTGGGAAACGAACCAACGGTCGCTTGTTGCTACTGATAATTCATAATCCGTCTTTTGCGTCTCTTACCGAAGTCCAGCAACACGTATATAGCATTATTAAAACTCACTTTGATTCGATTTTTTTGACTTGATTCCACTTTTGAGGGACTCTTTGTTGTGATTTGGATGTTGTGGGTACTTAATGCTTTGATTTTAATGGTTTTTAACAGACATAGGACGTAAACCAGGCTTTGGACTTTGTTAATAACGCGTTTTTTATTTATTGTGTCTAACTATTCAAGTTATTCACATTCACATTATTTGTTGGCTTGAGTTGTGTCAGAGTTTTTGCCAAGAGTTTAGAATTACCATTGTTCGATTTGTTCATTTGTACAGTATTCATATGCAGAGGATTGGGAGTTCGTGTTTAAATAAATGCTCATGATTCATGATGAAGTGAAATTGCTTTTTTAGTGTCTTTTCTTCTCAGTTTCATCAAGGGTAGCTTCTAGATCAGCGTGTACAGGCAAAGTGAGGCTCTTTTATTAAACAGGTATATGGCGGGGTTCCTCCAAAGACAATTAAAAATGACAACGGCATCGCAAGGTACGCAGTCTTAGCATACAATTTCTCTATGGTTTGAAATAGTGTACTGCACCCATTAATTCCGAACTCATTCGCAGGCCTGGAAAGCGAACAAGAGAAGTTTTCTTAGCAAACAGAGATGTAAAGTAAAGGGGAAAAAAGGAAACAGTAGGCGGGCAGGAGGTGAATGTTACATATAACAACTTTCTATCCATTAGAGCTTTCATAATACTTCATGAAGAAAGCTTTATTAAGATCTTGGAGGGAGTTGGTACTCTCAAGTTTTTCAGTCGTACTAGCGTGGGGGACGTCCAGGTGATATGAGTTTCAGAAGATATGTCGGTCATTTTCAAATTTTTATTTCAGTGTATTTTGGCCGTTTCTTTTCACGTCCGGTCACTGAGCTCGTTACAATCTTTTTTAAAAATAATTGCAAATACTCGCTCATTAGCGATCAGCGCAGCGGACGGTAAGAAATTACGCTGTCAAAGAAAGAATTTGCTATTCTTAGCCAGAAAAACAGGAATTGGAGAGTTTGATAGGTAAGAAAAACCATATTGGGTGACGAGAACCATTACGATAAGACAACTCAAAATTAGGCCGTGGAGAAAGGAAGACGTAGGTTTATTTTTGATAAAACTAATTGGACGATCTGCAAAAACAAAGCATAATAAACCTTTAGCATCAATGTCTTCCTCTCAGCAACAAGTAGGTCAGCCCGACAGTTCTTCAAGATTTTTGAAACTGACCACTCTGGGAATCAAAAAAAGTTAAGAACGGTTCCAACTGCTGGTAAAACGGCACTTTTTACTCGTTTGGAAAAAGATCTATTGTAAAATAAATTGAATCTAAGTATTTCACGTCACCATAAATTTTCATATGATTAAAATTACGTAATAATCCAAATATAAATCAATGAAAAAAATTTTTGCTACCGTTCATAAAACACAAATTTGGACATTTTGGACCTGCAGAAAAAAGGTAACCAAGTTAACGACTTATTCAAAACGTCAAATTTTCAGCATTAATGCAGCAGTGAGATGCAACCAACGCTAAAAATCAAAACTAAATTTTTTTTTTTTTTGTTTCTGAAAGAACGGGAAATCTTAAGACTTTGAAGGAAGACAAGGCTAGAAAACTGGGGTGAGGCATGAAAGGAAAAGACAAGTAGAAAAAAAGGAGAAATTGTGGTGTAAATGGAACAGTCGCTGACAAAAAGATAACCAAATTAAGTGTCATGGTTTACAGCTTAGAAGAGATCACTTTTAACACCATGATTACCTGTCTTTTGCAGTATGTTGCCTTCTGCCACCTGTATCATTACAGTTTCAATTCACCGTCTTCTCTAATCTCACTTGATGGTTGAGCGTCCTCCTCTCTGTCAACAAAAAATTAATTTAAAGACGCAAAGCCGTCTTCTAATTCAGCAAAGATCTTAGATTGCAACTTGAATGAACATACATCCAGTCTTGCTTCCCAACAATAATAACAGCCGGCTAAGTCTTTCTCACCCATTTATTATCTGTGCATTTATAATTTCTTAATTACGTTACCGGACTTATTGAAAGTATTGTTACTCTGTTTAGTATTCTAAACACTACGTTTTATTGCTTACCTTTTCAAATAAATCATTTTCTTTTTTTTTTCTTGCTCTGAGTCACAGCCTCCGATTTCTAAATCATTAAAACAGTGAATTTGCAACAAACAAAAAAAAAAAAACAGACTTCAACTATTAAGGAGACTTTAGAAAGTGCATTGTTTTTGAAAATGGACCAGTCATTAAATGTCATTGGTAAGGCATACAGAGGGTCATAATTCCTTCTGCGCAAGAGACCCCCGTAAGACGCTTCTATCTAAACAGAACCTTCAATAAAATTCTGACTTTTTTTCCTTCAATCCCGTCAAGGCTTGCCTCAATAAACCCGAGTTTAAGAAGGAAAGAACATTCAAGTGATGATGAACCAGAAGAAATAAGCAAAAACTCAATGATAAGATAGTTGTTCCTTAATAGTTTTCAAAAAGTGGAGAAATTCTACAGGACAAAATGAAGTTGGGAGATTTTGAAAAAATCAGAAGAGAGGATAAGTCAGAAGGAATAAAGGGGAACTTCAGACAGGGATACAGCATAAAAAGTAGTGCCGTTTGGCTAGGAAGGAGATGGTGATAGGTGAAATTAAGGAATCAGTGAGGTGAATATTTAAAATCAGTTCCAAGCTTCAGCGTATCAAAAGCCAAGGGGAAGACGCGGATACACCGCAGGCTAAAATTGTGTTGCGAAAGCGTAGCCGTACTCAAGAACTCTAATTTTTCAGAAGTTTCATTATCCTGTGATACAAATTCTGTATCATTTTTGGGTGACATTAACTGTTGACAAACTGTTGAAGTGCTCAGAAAATTATGAGGTGGTTACATTGTAAGAAGGACTGAGGATTATCAACTGAAACAGATCATTTGCAGCTGTACAGTTTTGAACTGGTGCCAGATAAGTAGTCTTGGCACGAAGAAATATGAGGGATATGAGGGGATTAAATACCGCATCCTCGCTTGTCTAGACGTATCTTATTTAGGCAATTCAGTTTTTTTACTGCCTCCCGTTCCGAACAGTTTATGGTCATATACCAACACTTATTTAACTGACAAGAAACTACAGTGCTTTCTTCATGACTCCGATGGCATACAGTAAAATTTGAGTAATTTATTTTTGGGAAAGTATCAGAGGCAGCTATTACTGTAGACTAACTGTAAATTTATAGTAATCAGCCAAAAAGTATATGGAACCATTTTTCCCCCAAACCTTTGTATTAGCTGTGTTTAAGTTGCAAAAGGAAATGCATCTCAATGGATAATAACATAGTTTGAGAAGCAGTATAGTGCCAATGGGTCTTTTTTTTAAACAATGTCTAGTGAACTTTTGTAGCAGCTTTAAGTCTGTACAAAGACTGTCCACTAAAATATTGCGCATTTTAACATTTTGATGCCAAAACTAAAGCTTTTGTTATGAACAATTTTTGGTTGGATTAAGCATTAGTATTTTCGAAAAAAAATAAATAAATAAAATAAATTTTTTTTTCTTATGAAATTTGATGCGCAAATATTTGTTCGCCTAATCAACAAATTGTTATTATGACTAAAAAAATTTTGTTAGTATAACATGATGAATGGAAAAGTGGAAAAAATTTGGTTGGAAACAGATGGATAAGGAAATAATTTGGAAATAAAAATAAGCAATTTACTGTGTGTCTATTAAAAACACTTTTCACATCTGTTTTTCCGGTGTGTTTCCTTGGATACGACAAGTTGAGTGTGCAATACGTTTAGCACCTTCCTAATAACAGCATGAAATCTGAAGCAAAAAAATAAAAAAAACAACAGCAGAAAAAAAAAAGAAGTAAAAAAAGACAAAAAAAAAACTACGTTTTGAAAATAGTTTTAAAAATGTCTTATTTACTTTCAACAACTTGTGTGTATGTTGTTTTTTTTTCTGTTTTTAACATGCAATATTTGTCAAAGTTTATATTCAACTTTGTTGCTGCTATTTGTGGATGTTGCAGTTACTGTTGCGTTCCAAATAATTCATTTATCTAATCTGTTTGCCCTTTCCATTAGTTTCATTAACTCTGTTACCAGTATCAACCTTATTCTGTTCTATTGATAGCCGTTTATATCATTGGGTGACTTTTTCAATTTTTTTT